CGAAAATTGCGAAAATTGCAGTACCGTAGAGGGAGAGGCCGGAAGCATAGTCAAAGGAGAGCGGAGGTCAGACAAATTGAAGGAGTCAGTCGAAGCCCCGGTACCTGAAGCAGGTGAGGAAACAGCACCAGCAAGAGGTACAGGGGCATCAGGAGCGTCCGAAGAGTGGTCAAAAAACAAGGCAGGGTCAGAATGGGGTGCGGTATCAAGAAGGGGCCCGGGGTAGTGGGTTCATGGATTGGGTTCTCCATGGTTAGGTTGCTTCCAGAGATATACCCGTCGCCCGAAAGACACCCAAAGCCACTCTCCGGGATACCGGAGAGGGATCGGGACATCCCCAGGCGATCCAGATTCCACGCAACTACGCCACCGCCAAGAACCCCAAGGGAATGGGATGGACCCCGGTACCCTTTCCCCTACCTAGGAACTAGCGGGCCTGTGGGAAAAACCCCAAAGGCCAAAAAGAGGAAGGGCAAAAGGGAGGGGTGGGGAGGAGGAGGAGGAAAGGAAAAAGGGGAGGATGGGATAGGGGAGGGGAGATTGGGGGGTAATTAGGTTCGGTCTGAGGAAGAAGACCGACAGGTCTAATTCCTCAGACCAAGAGCCTCTTCACCACGCCAAGGAGCCCCCCTTGAAGAGGAGAGAGAGAGAATGGCTCCAACTTCATCCTGTTCCCTATCTGTATATCTCTTAACACTAAAAAAAAAAAATTTAAATGAAATGATGTAGGTAACAGCTCTTGGACCGTAAATAAAGTTAGGAACCCTAAACCTAACCTTGTAAACCCCTGTAAAGAGAGAGAGAGAGAGAGAGAGAGAGGAGAGAGAGAGAGAGAGAGAGAGAGAGAGAGAGAGAGAGAGAGAGTGGTATTTTATTCACCAGGAAACAAGTATTTCCTGAGAGTGGTCTTTAATCACAAAGATGAGCTGCTAACAGAAGCTTTGAGTCACATGATAGAGGTCGTCCACCGACTTACCTGTCCACTTCCTTTGAGTAATTCTGGGACATCCTTGGTAACTTACACCTTATCCTCATATCAGACATAAACAAAGATATACACCACAGCACCGTATCATCCTTTGCGGATGATACTAGGATCTGCATGAGGCTGTCATCTGCTGAGGACGCGGTTAACCTCCAAGAAGATATAAACAAAGTTTTCCAGTGGGCAACGGTAAACAATATGATGTTCAATGAGGACAAATTCCAACTACTCCGTTATGGAAAACTGGAGGAGATAATAACTAGAACAGAGTATACTACTGACTCCGGCCATACAATAGAGCGGAAAAATAATGTAAGGGACCTGGGAGTAGTAATGTCTGAGGATCTCACTTTCAAGGATCACAACAGTGCCACGATCGCACGTGCAAAGAAAATGATAGGATGGATAATGAGAACTTTCAAAACGAGAGATGCCAAGCCCATGATGATCCTTTTCAAATCACTTGTTCTCTCTAGGCTGGAATACTGCTGTACATTAACATCTCCATACAAAGCAGGTGAAATCGCAGATCTAGAGAGTGTACAGAGATCCTTTACTGCACGTATAAGTTCTGTCAAGCACCTTAACTACTGGGAACGCTTGGAAGCACTTGACTTGTACTCGTTGGAACGCAGGAGGGAGAGATATATCATAATCTACACTTGGAAAATCTTGGAAGGAATGGTCCCAAATCTGCACACAGAAATCACTCCCTACGAAAGTAAAAGACTGGGCAGGCGATGCAAAATGCCGCCAATAAAAAGTAGGGGCGCCATTGGTACACTAAGAGAAAACACCATAAGTGTCCGGGGCCCAAAACTGTTCAACAGCCTCCCATCAAGCATTAGGGGAATTGCCAATAAACCCCTGGCTGCCTTCAAGAGAGAGCTGGACAGATACCTAAAGTCAGTGCCGGATCAGCCGGGCTGTGGCTCGTACGTTGGACTGCGTGCGGCCAGCAGTAACAGCCTAGTTGATCAGGCCCTGATCCATCGGGAGGCCTGGTCATGGACCGGGCCGCGGGGGCGTTGATCCCCGGAATAACCTCCAGGTAACCTCCAGGTATGTAAGACAGTTGCAATCATCCAGAATAATGAAAAATATACTTAAATAAGTTTATTTACACTAGTAATAAGACAAAGATGACACGGTAAGATGTTTACAGTGGTCGGGAGCAGGGAGGGAGGAAGAGAGGAAGATGTTTAGAGTGGTAGGGAGCAGGGAGAGAGGGAGGGAAGGAAGGAGGGAGAGAGGAAGATAAGATATCCTGGTTGGGAGGGAGAGAGGAAGAGAGAATGTGAGGTGGGTGGTGATGCAGCGGAGGAAGAGGTCTATTATCTGCAGTTGCCACCCAACCCATACCAGGTTACCTTGCAGGGGCAACCCACCACGTTGAAACCCATTCTTCAACCACCCATGACACGCCTGCAGATTTCAACGTTTACCAGAACAGCTCAGCAACCGCGTTGCCAGACGTGTCTCCGGCCGTTCAATTTCTTTTTGGCTAAGACATACGTTTGTTTACAGATCTATGTAACGTACTTGTTATTTTTCCAGGTCATCGCCCCCCTGATCCCGGTCCCAGACCAGACCTGCTGCTGCTTCATAACCTGATCTATCAGGCTGTTGGTAGGTAGGCAGTATTTAGATTTAAAGAGCACTCATGAGGAAGTGGAACAGAATTATTCCTCCGTAAGCCATGCGTGTCTTAAGAGGCGACTAAAATACCGGGAGCAAAGGGACAGTAACCCCTTCTCCTGTATAAATCACTAAATTTAAAAAGAAAAAACAAAAAATTTTCTTTTTAGGTTACTCTGCCTCGGTGGGATACGGCCGGTTCGTTAAAAAAAATTAAGCTTGGTAGTTATTGCCAATTAAAACACAAAACACAGATGGTTATTCAAGGTTATATTAACACGCACTAAGCAACTACTATCATGCATAAAACATTATCACACCAAGCTAACACACACAGCAGCCGTTAAGAGGCGCCAGAGTTTCCGTCTCCTATCATATTTATTTTCCCTTATCATCTCCCTTGTCCGTAATTACTATCGCACTTGCTTTGTCTGCTTTCGTAAGGTGAAGTCTAGGATCTTCCCTTAATTCATGGTATAACTTAATAAATCTTTGATAACAATTAGGTGGACAGAGTAACACCTGTCAACAGGTGACATCGATGTCTCCACACAATGTAAACATCACCTTTCTCTCCACGTTCTCGGTTACTCTTTTGACAACTTCCTTCACTTTTTTTTTTACACAGGGTTTAACAAGGTTAAGGATCCCTAGCTTTATTGACAAGCTATTTACAGGTTAAGGATTCCTAACTTTATTGGCAAGCTAAGAGCTGTTACCTACATCAACTCATTTGAAAGTCTTACTTAAGATACTTCAGAGTAGGATTTCAAATCGGGTAAAACAAGTATACTCTTATTTCATCCATACCTAACCTTACCTATGATGAGTTCCCAGAGGTTTTTGAATCCCAGAGCCCAGCCACAGGCAAGGCTCGTCTGGTGCTTGCCTGGTCAACCAGGCTGTTGCTGCTCTAAGCCCGTACATGTTATATAACTCTTTGGGAATGAAAATGAATCATATACTATGATCCAATGGTAGGTTGATCCCCCTTGGATGAATCATACATGATCCAGTGGTAGGTGAATCCTCCTTGGATGAATCATACATGATCCGGTGGCAGGATGAATCCTCCTTGGATGAATCATACATGATCCAGTGGCAGGGTGAATCCTCCTTGGATGAATCATACATGATCCAGTGGCAGGGTGAATCCTCCTTGGATGAATCATACATGATCCAGTGGCAGGGTGAATCCTCCTTGGATGAATCATACATGATCCAGTGGTAGGGTGAATCTCCTTGTTTCCTGGCATGAATCTCAATACATGATCCAGTGGCAGGGTGAATCCTCCTTGGATGAATTATACATGATCCAGTGGCAGGGTGGATCCTTGTATGAGGTCACCTTCAGTAGCATGGATGCGCCTCCCTGGAAGAGCAGGTAATGACCATAGTGTTGTTGCTAGCAACACAGCCGCACCTTCCAGCCACCTGCTTTAATAATGCCAACAATATTTCAGACTCTTCCAAATTCAATTCCATCATTGCAAATGCAACATTGCAAGTGCATGAAAGCTATTACAACCAATGCAAATTTCGAGTGTTTTTTTTTAACATACATTTTTACCTGACAACGGAGTTTTACACCAAGTAACGGCAGAATAAAAAAATAATGCAGTGTTGAGCGTGCAATAAAATGTACGCCCCACCAGTTTAATCCCTAGCAGGCTTTAGTTGCATTAACTGCTTGTGAACTCAACGAACGGAGGGTTGGCAGCCATGACCAGCCAGTGGTAAAACTAGCAGGCCAGTGCGCTATCCAATGTTGAGGAATATACAGTGTACGTGCAGAGAAGTTGCTTATATTAAAATTCAGTGCATCAATCTTGAGAAATGTAGAGCATGTGTGCGGAGAAGTTCCTTATATATACAGCAGCTTCTCCGCACATATGCTGTAAATTTCTGAAGAATGATAGGATATCCACTACTATACTATGCTAGCCTGAGATTCCTCCGACTGATCAATCAGGACTGAGAGACTGACCACCTGTCAAGATTGAGGGACTGATCACCCTAAAATTACCCCTCCAATTCTTCGACTGTCTCCAGTTATCATCACCTGTACTCGACTGAAGAAGCCAGCTGCACAGGCTAAATATTTCCACAATAACGATACCTAAGTGTTGCACATGATATGTCCCATGAGGTTCCCTCTCACACCAACATCCTAAATTGGGAAGGATATATATTGCAGAAATTAAAAAGTTTTAAAAATTACACAAGTAAATGTAATATGGATGTAAGAAATTTGTAAGACTTACCTACCATTATACACATGAGAAAAGACTGGCAACAAACCTGTCCGAGTGCAAAATATTTATCGGGCTCCGATAAATATTCTTGATTGGAAAGGGGAACGAAGTTAGCCCTTTTTCTCTCTCCAGATTTTTGACAGTTGGTATGTCTCCTTTCCCTCCCACTGTAACTTACTAGTTACAGTAAACCTTCACTCTCACACACACTAACTTCCAACTACAACTAAGTATCTACAAAGACTGTACTTGTTAACTCTTCCTCATACACTAACTTTTAAGTACAAAGATGTAACTACAACGACTGTACTTACTTAATTCTTCCTCGCACTAACTGGTAACTACAAACAGCTACAAAGACTCTATACTCACCAACTACAGTGGATCGCTTCCTCAAACACTGACTTCTAACGCTAACATTAATCTGAAACAAATAACAAAAATGTCATAAAATTAACATATTTCCTGGATGTTAGATTAACTTCTGGCTGCTCCCAGAGAAGCTGCAAAAAATTTACCTACATTATGCTTATTGTAATCAAAGTTTGGTTAAGCTGCTAAGTTAATGTTGGTGCGAAATTACAAGTTGCCAAACCGTGTAAATGCACGGAATATATTAATAAATGCCAGAGAGAGAGAGAGAGAGAGAGAGAGAGAGAGAGAGAGAGAGAGACAGACAGACAGACAGACAGAGACAGAGACAGAGACAAGACAGACAGAGAGAGAAGACAGACAGAGAGAGGACAGACAAGACAGAGACAAGGAAAAGAACGAGAGAGACAGACAGAGAGAGAAAGAAAGACTAACTTCAGGCATCAAGGCTCGTATTACATGTAATGAGGATGAGCTTGATTAAAACCATAACAAACCACAATACTCTGCCACAAAGAGCATAACACTACCACAAACATTTATAACGAAGCACAATACCTGGCAACAATACCCGACTCGACAATATCCAATATAACACACGCCGCACACTAATGACAACACGTCTAATTTGGAAGCATTGTAGCCTACTAATTGATATGCTAACATTCTGACGCACACTGAGTACTAATTTACTGAACGATTGTAATAACACCTGCAATAAATACAAGACTGGCTTTTTAAAAAAAATGATTATAATTATAACTATTTTTTAAAGGGGGTGGATGGGAAGCAGTTGAGGCCTGGGTCGATGACCAAAAGCTCCAGTTGGGGTCTCATTACGGGTTTCCCTACCCGACAGCCGGCCTTTCGTTGCCTGTCAATTGACTTGCCCAGCGGCCATTTTAAACTTTAAAAGTACTTTCAAGAACGTGGCTGTATGATGTCAATTTTTAAAAAAACCTCAGAAACGCCCCCCTTTGAAGGTGGGTGGGAGGGTATGGCTCATGTTGGCGAAGGGATGAAGGGCTCTAGCCAAGGAAGTGTACTTTTATTTCCTTCTTGGCCCAAGTTTATTTACAACACCAAAACCACACACCCACACACACCACACACACAACACACACACACACACACCACACACACCCACACATATATATATATAATATATTTATTATATTTTTATATATATATTATATATTATTATATATATATATATTATATGTCGTCCCAAATATGTAAAACTGGTAAATTTAGCAAGAACTATTTAAAATTAATCCTTTCTGAAATTTTCTCTTTACGTTTAAAGAAAATTTTTTTTTCTTAATGTTAATGAAAATTTTTTAAATTTTGCACCAAAAAAAATTTAGAAAACTTACCTAACCTTATTATAAAAAAGAACAATTTTTTTACCCTTCCCAACAAAATTATTTAAGTTTTGTTTAAAAATAATTTAATACTAACAAACCCCAGCGAAATATATTTTTTTCTTTTGGTAGAATGATTTTGGGAAAATTTTGCAACAAAATTTTCACTTGCCCTATAGGCAAGATGAGCGTTGTTATTTAAAGCCAAGATAGAAAGTTCTCCCTTTCGGACGACATTATAATATATTATATATATATATATATATATTTATATATTTATTTATATTTTTATTTATATATATATTTTTTAAAAAAATTTATATTATATTAATTATATATATATATATATATTTTTATATATAATATATTAAACACACACCACAGTATATGTACATGTTTTTCTCTGCAGAGAACCCCGGTCCTCCGGAACATGGGAAAAACCCTTTCTCTTAATTTCCTTTAGTGCTCAAAAATGACTCTGTAAGAGGAGTAAGATGAATCTTTAAAAATTTGGGGCGAGACTAATTCTTCGCTCTCATTCCTCTTTGTTTTATGCAACTGCTTCCTTCACTTTCCTTAAGTTGAGTGGGTTGTCTATATTGTGATTCAGGGGGCTTAGTTTTTTTTTCCCTGGCTTGGGGTGTTGTTTTCCTCCACGTCACTCTAGGAAAGGTTAGGACCGGGGGTGGGGATTAGTCGTATTAGTCATGGGATGACCCAAAAGCTAGAGCTTTTGGTCATCCGACCGAGACCTTCCACTGGCTTACCCCTATAGCCCGTTAAAAATTAAGGTTATAATTATAACCAGTCTTAATAAGCTGGGGATTATTTCTCAAACATGAAATTTATAGAAATTTACAAAACGTTTCGCCCACCAGCGACAAGTTTTATTGAGCACAAGTTTTATTGAGTCCATTTCATCCTTTTATTGTGTATTTCCCTGTTGCATTGGAAGTAAAGACAGCTCACTGTGCCATTCATTCAATTTAAAGTAAAAGTTGAGCAAATCAGATTTGAGTAAAGTACAAGTTCTCTTGATTTTCAAAGTGTTGTTCATTCAGTTGCATATTTTTCTTGTGTGAGTTCTTTACTTACTGTGTAACCTGTCAACTTTTAGTTACTTATGCAGAATAGTTAAGCATTTTCTTCCCGTTTAAGCTTTTGTGTCATTCTCTCCATTTTTCTTGCCTTATGCACTTGAGTAAGTTCACTGAGATGTCCCAGTCACTTTTGAACGTTCACTTACTGTATCATGCCAGTCAAAGTCAATATGAATCAGTCCACAGTACCAACATTTCCTTACTGACTGAAAGACAATACCTAGCCCTTGAGCAATGTGTTTATTCTCACAGCTTGTATCTGAGATTTGTTAAAGTGCTGCGAAATGTGAAGTTCAGATTAAGTTCCTATAGATTCGTTCATTACTTATTAACGTAGCCGAGCGGTCAGGCACTAGTAATTCTGTCACTCCCATCTGTGTTCCACCTACACCTTCAGACTTGCAGGATAGTGTTCCGTTGCCTCAAGTGTCCGAGGACACTCAGACTGCCTTGAGTGCAAGCCTATCCCTGCAATGACTGTAGTTCGAGTAGTAGTTTCTCCACAGGGGATGCCTTGTCAGAAAACGATTACTTGAAACTAGTAATGCCATCTCTTGTTGATGTGACATGCTGTCTGCAGAAAGACGTCTCTGTTACAGCTAGTGTTCTCACTAGTGTCTGTTGTTGTTCCTAATGTTCCAGATGGTGATCCCATCCTAGTTGACAGTAATCAGTGCATTGTTAGAAGTTATTTCTCGAGTAACTTTCACATGTTAACGTTTGTAAGTGTAGTTTCTTTATAGTTGATACCTCGTGTCACTGTGTGCGACTCAGAATGTCAGCATTGTTGACCGTGTTCATTTATTTTCTCCTGTGCTTGCAGTTTGAGATAGTAGATTCGTTCTCCCTTGCTCATATTGCGTGTTATAGCGTTAATTTTTTCAACCGGGGGGAGTCATCCACTCCACCGAGTTTGTTCATTCCTCCAGTAAGAAAGAACCGATCCCTTGTGTTCTGGTGATTCGATTCCTGCTCCAGTAAGATCTTATTCTTACTGTGAAGCCACCAGCACCCATTAGTGACTTTGTAATGAGCCAAGAATTACTGTATCGAACAGCCGAGTTGGGTACTCCAAGCAGAAGAGTTTACCAGTTAGTAATTCCACAGTCACTAGTGAACGTAGCTCTACAGCTAGTTCATGATGCACCAGGTGTTGCACACCCTGGTATGGATCGTTCTGTGAAACAAGCCAGAATGAAATACTTTTGGCCACGTATGGCAACTGATATTTCTGAGTATGTTAAGAAATGTAGTGTCTGCATGCAACATAAAGGTAATGCTAATGGTCCTAATCCAATCCAAGTGTATCCAACCACTAGCGAACCTTGGGAAAGAGTTGTGCTAGATTTGTTAACTAATTTCCAATGTTCCCTCCAGGGCAACAAACATCTATGTGTTATGGTAGACCATTTCACCAGATATTGTGAGTTAGTTCCTATTGCAGATAAGACTGCCGAGACAGAAGCTAAAGCGTTTAAAGAACGCATTATCTGCAGGCATACCACCCCTAAGTCCCTAGTAACAGATAATGGAGGTGAATTCTGTAATGAGATTCTTGAAAATTTGTGCACCTTGTACAAGATCTCTAAATCCACCATTGTTCCTCATCATCCTGCCAGCAATGGGTTAGCGGAACGTACCAATAAGAAAGTACTTGATGTCTTGAGAGCCACTATCAATCCCAACAGTGAAACTTGGGATGAAGTTATACCTGATGTGCAGTGTGCTGTAAATTCTGCTTACAATGCTTCCATAGGTGATACTCCACATTATGCATTGTATGGTGTAGATACGCGTTTGCCTTATGAGTTGCTATATTCTAATCCGAAACCAAATTACAACCCTGATGATTTCATAGCAACTCGTACCAGCTTAGCTCAAAGTGTTTTTAGAAGAATCCGTGAAACACTTCATAAATCAACAGCAGAATTTACAAGAATCGCAAACACTCGAGCAAAGCCATCCAAAACAAAGTAGGTTCGAGAGTTTGCTGGGCTAACTTAACAAACGTCCCGCAATGCCAAGCTTGATCAAAAGTTTGTTGGTCCTTAACGAGTAGTTGAACATATCACTGGTAATAAGTATAAGGTTAGAGAAATTAGTACTGGTCAGTATAAAGAATCGCATTTAGATCATATGCAAATTGTTCGTGTTGGGTGATATTGCTACCCAGGGCTAATATGACAGGGTGCTGAAAATCTCTTGCTCGTACCCTCTACCTCAGATACTCAGTCAGATAACCAACCTGAATGTCGTTACTCCTTGCGTACTCGACAAGTAATGAGAAATCCACAAGTATCTTTTGTAGATACTCGTTTAGATCTCCCTCAGTCAAGGCATGTGTTAGCCATTGCAGAGGAATTCGATCCTCCCAGAGATGATAACCATTCTGCATATGTAAACCTCACCCTCGCAGAATTGGGTTTAAATGTACATAGTCTATAACTAGATGTCCGAGATGAAGTAAATTGTCAACTGTTTGTTATTAACTGATTAGTTTTTCAGAAAAAATTTTTATTTTCGTGTTCACGTTCCCTCCGTATTCTGAGAATTGACAGTAATAGTCTGAGTGCACCAGATGCCTTTGC